TGAATATAAATTTGCGATACACTTAATTTCAACGGTCGCGCTATAATTCTCAACGAACGTCTCACGTGCTCGACTTCAACAATACTCAGTTCAATTACACACTCTCTGACTGCAGTTCAATTACTCATTACCTTGTCCCGTCACGTTGTGACTGTCTTATATATATACCAGCTACCCCCAATCTAGTAGTCTCCCGCTAATTCATGAAGGTTCGAGAAGGACGTGACGTGATACTAGTCACGTGACCTAGCTGACGCAACAATATACAAATATGGTATAAATTCTACAGAATATTTCAATATGTTACTTACACACCATACACAAATCCATTGCTTTGTTTTGAACTTCGCACAAAGCTACTCGAAGGCTATCTGCGCTAGCCCTCCCTAGTTTAGCAGTGATAGACTAGAGGGAAGGCAGCTAGTCAACACCGCCCATCGCCAAACTCTTGGGCTACTCTTTTACCAACGAAAAGTGGTATTGACCTTAATATTATAACGCCCTCATGGCTGAAAGGGCGAGCATGTTCGGCTACAGGGATTCAAACCGCGACCTGCAGCTTGTGGATCGAGCGCTCTAACCACCAAATACACTGATTTTGGTAAGAAGGAAATTTTAAACACAGTAGAAAGGCAATCGCATGTGTGCGAATTTTCATTACCGTAATAGACGCTTATACCGAGCAGTGCAATCTAGGATGCTTGTTATAATAAATAAATAACAATAAAAATTATCTTTTAGCTTCTTCGAATATGAATTTGATACATCAGCTATGTGTTGAAATATAAATTTATTATCAATTTTAAACCAACTTACTTTATTTGATAAACGTCCCATGATCTGCGACGCAACTTTTTAGTAAGTTGCGTGAGATAACTATAAACTACATGGTTTAGTGAATTTAATCATAACTTTTATTACAGCTTTGATTCAAATTCTTCATAACAAACCAGCTATATTTTTTATTTTAACAACTATAATTTTTTTTTGGTTTAAAAGCGATATATTTTAAAATACATACCCACATACAAATATATTGTATGCATAATTTGCATACACAACTGAGGATTTTAGCTAAGGAAAAGTGTTATGGCGCTTTCCGTTGATCTTCGTATGTTTTGTTGTTTGATTATGAGGCGTGAGAAAACATAGAACGAAGTAAAGTTTCGTGGTGTAATATTATCTTATTTCTTTAAACTTAATTAAGAGGAATTATTGACTATTCTGACGATGTTAATTAAATTATACTTGTACTGTGTTAGTGTTAATTATTTATTTATATTTTAACTTGACTGGAAAATAATCAGTAAAACTTTAAAGGTAAGCCTAATATGTAATAACAGAACGTGGGTTTTGCGAAGTCTCGGTTTTTTTATTTTTTTATATGGTACTAATGGAGTAATGCGTATCAAAAGATAGTTATATTTTTATTTCACCCTGACTTATGTCTCGGTTATTGTTAAAACTCGAACAATTGAAACTGTGTAGGGCTAGTTTACTGTATAATGTGTACTTGTGTCATTCTAGTTCAAGTTTAAAGAATTTTTACTTCAGAGCTAGTGATAAATTTTCAAACTTAGTTGATAGTGCCAAAATGCCAAAGGAACCTAAAGCATCGAATGAACTTCGTCATATTCGAATGAGGGCCAAGGCTGTAAATAATAAACCAAAACCAACACCTAATGAGATCTGCCTACATGTTCTCGGGAATGGAGGCCCTGGCAATCCAAGATGTTTGTATATGTTTACAGATCATGCAAGGTAAATAATTAATTCATTTGTGAAGTTCAAGTCTAAACTGTATTGCACTACATGTGCTTTTTATTTTTTGTTGTAGAATTATGTTTTCAGCATTGGACAAAATAGTAGACCACCATCCAAATTCTGTATTTGATGTAGCTTGCGTATAGAATAATAATTTCACTTTTTTATTATTTCAGTTTGTAATTTTGATTTGTTTTCTTGAATATTGACTTTCTAGTTTGTATCTGAAAAATAATCATGAAATTTAGCCAAAGATTTGCTTTTTAAATATGAATATACATGCAGAGGAACAATATGTTTTTAAATAACTATATTTTATAATTAAATACCCGAGTCTTACTAGTTGGCCACAGCTATATGATTCACTTTAAATGTATGATAATGATTGATAGATATGATTACCATTTCTTACATTTAAAATATAGGTCTCAGAATTTTTAGTTTATTCCATAAATTAGTGTAAAGTGTGCTAAAGTATGTGTTAATCTAAATGTTTCTGAAATAAGAAGAAAAGGAAATCAAGTGTGACATAATGCTACTTGGACTTTTGAGGTCACATCTTAACCTAAGAAAACAAGCAACCAAAATAATAAGTGGCAAGAAGGATACCACACACATGCCTTGCCTTTAGTCGGCAGTTCCTTACCCCCCCCCCCCCCAAACTTGCTTTGCCTTTCATCTAGTGAGCAGTTCAAGAAGATAAAAAAAAAAGAAAAGGTTGGCAGCAGATTCTGCCAGCCAGCTGCCTTCTCTCTTATCAGCTTCTCAAAATTAATGACAGTGGCTTATACTTTAGCATCTTTGCCATAACAAAGACAGGGTGAATAAGTTTGGTTTTGATTACTTGGACAGTTGCAATAATCTGAAAGAATAATAGTCAGAAGCACTGATTTCAATTTAGCGACTTAATCATAATTTCAATGAATCAATTAGTTTGCATGACATTAATTCATATAATCTCTACTTATAGGAAATCAATTATTTTGATTAAAATGCTCAACTCAACACACAACATGTTCTTGGATACTGCCATCTCTGACTGCTATAATATAAACAAAGGACCTTAAGAAGGTACTACATTGAATTTTACCTTTTTGTTGGTTGTAAACATGAATATTGAACATGCATCACATGGTTTAAAAATATATTAAAATTACAAGAAGAGCCTGAGAGGAACTTAATTTGCAGATTGCACAACGTTATTTGCATCACAGCAAATCAAAAAGATAGAAGATTCTTATTTTATTTTATGGCCTGTTTCTGATTGGTTGGATAGTGTAAAAGCCATAAAAGGATTAAAAGAACCTAAAAAGAGAAATCAGTGTAAGATGCATCACAAGATGCATAGTGAAGATTAAAAATCTATTTTGTTATTCATTTTTGAAATTAAAAACTATATCAAAGATCATATCAGAAATTTGAATTATAAACTACCAAATACACTAATAATAAAACTGCATAATATAATTTTGAATGTAACTGTAAAAAAAAGGTTGTGACCTGTGCACTTCAACTCACTGTTATGCATAGGGTTAATGATATTAACAGGGGCCGTGTAATTTGCTGATGACATTAAGTCTTGGGTATTTTTGTCTCTATTGAGGATTTTGAGGCTCTAGAGAATTATTTGGATCAATTGGGAAGATGGACCAGCAAATGACTTAATTATAGTTATTGCAGCTAATGCATTTGGTTATGATAATTTGAGTAACAGGTTTAATATAGATGGGAACCTATTCACTGGCATGACTAAAGAAAAGGATATTAATTACAAGTCAGAATAAGCAAATTGTCTGTAGAAATCGATAGTTAGGTCTCACTCAGAGTATTGTGTAAAGTTTTGTTTTTGTTTAAGAAAGGATATTGATTTACTGGAAAGAATTCAGAGGAGAGCTACTAGGAACATTTTGGGAATGGAAGGGTTATGGGTAAAGATTGAAATATCTTAATTTATATTGAGAAAGGAAGGATAAAATTTAATCATAATTTTGTTTATGGGGAATAGATTAATATAGTTAGTTATCCAGCTCTACTACCACCAATTTTAAAACTCATTAGAAGGATTTATTGAAATGCTTCTTGCAGTATTCCACCGTCATGAGATTAAATGTGCTGTCTCTGGATGGCTCTTATTTTCCAGAATAGATCATTCTTATCTTGGGTGACCAAATTTTCAAACCATAAAACTAAGAAAAACTCAGATTTTCATATCTTAAAACTGTAATCCCCATTTTAAGGATAAATAGTAAAAAGTAAAAAGTTTTTCCAATATGGTACATTACCTCTTCTCACATAAATAGCTATTCTCCTCCAGTGCTATCCTCTACATGCAAAGATTTTTTTGCATTCCACAAGCTTGAACTTCCACGTACCCTACGTTCATCATGGTTCAACTGTATCTTGCATGTAAATCATCATGCGACAACCCTCCACCAATAGGAGTGCAACACACCCTCCTGACACATGTTTGGCAGTGCTCGTGTCAGGACATTTTTTATTGTGATCTTCAATCGTGTTTTTTTTTAAACTTAGTGCATCTTTTTATATGCAAATAATTCTGAGGTGGAATTGTTCTTTTCAATTTTAAAACAGTTTGTGAACTTACAGATAATCTTTTTCCCTTTTTTTTTCATGTATGGATCCTGCTTTGTGGCGAGTGGTTCATGGCCATGTATACTTCAATTAGTCAAAATCTGCAGTGTAATGCCAAGATGATTTAATATTTATAATTTTCATGGCCACTAAATGCTCACTGTTGAGATGGGGTGTTTCACAAGATTGCTTGAAGGTGTTTCCATGCAATATCAATTTGCCTCATTAATATGTCTGTTCTGGACTGTACTCACCCATGGACTTCATGGGCAAAGTAGAAAGTGATAGCTGCCTATCCATGTCATTCCATAGATTGAATAAATCAGTTGTGGTCTGCTTTTCAAAATAGGGTATCATGGTCACACATTGCACTGTCTCCGATGTTGACATTCCTCTGGAATCTCCACCACATTTTCTCCCCTCTTTTTCTTCCCGTGAAGTAAGGGAGTCTTTACCATTTTGTAGGTCCAAGCCACTGTGATGATGAACCATGGAGGCATCCTCATGAATGTGATAGTGATAAATGAAACAAAATGAATCTATTCATTTGAGAGTAGGGTGGTGGTGTTCTGTTGTTGTAGATGACGAGATGTCCACCAATCTGATGCTCCATCTCTAAAATGTTTTATTGGAGGGGATGTTGTAGCTTTGGAGGGAGCTGGCAAAATTGAAGTTCAACCCTTTGAATGGGATCCTTCCTCCTACTCCCACATAGATGTTGGTTCCCAGTGGCTGGGTTTTGGATTCAGAGCTGGACCAATCAACACAAGTCCTCACACATGTATTACAGGTGCATCTGTTGCCTCATTCAGTTGGACTCTTATTCACTACTACTATGTTGGGGGTCACGGTGGAGGAACTTTCAGGCTACTACAGGTAACCTGCCAACAGTATGATCCTCTTCCATACCCCCACACGAATGTCAGTTCCTGGTGACTGGCTTTTAGATTGTAGTTGACTTGCCGTGTATGGCCCATCATACCCTAGCCACTCTACACCCTAGGACACATCTTTTTTACTCACACCCGCATTACAGTCATCTAGGGAATTGAGATTCAGAATCAGGTGGTTTGGATCTTTATCCAAACATTGTTCTCTTCGTTTGGGATATGCTCCTTCCATTTTTGCCCATGTCTGCATCACCTCTTTCCATACTGGGCAAAGAATATACCTGGTGCACAAGTGGTGCAGTCTCTCGCATATGATTCTTTTCTGTGAGGAGTTCCTCTTTTAGGGAGTTCTTTGGACACTTTTGAAGGATGCTTCTTTTTCCCTCACACTGGTCCCTCCACCTGTTCAATGTGGGATTCTAGCTATTTATGTGAGAGGAGGTAATGTACCATATTGGAAGTTATAATTTTTACATACTGAAAATATATTTCCAATGGATACTTACCTCCTCTCGCACTTCCCACCATTCCTCCCCACTCAAAACTGGTGCTTCCATTTCCTGCCAAACTCAGAATGATAGTTTGGTAGAATTGAAGAGAGGGAGTCACATGCGTCAGGAGGGTGTGTCACACTCATGTTGGTGGAGGATTGTCACATGATGATTTACATGCGAGATGCAGTTAAACCATGCTGAATGTAGGGTAAGTTGGAGCTCAAGGCTTGTGGCATGCAAAAAAATGTTGTATACAGAGGGCACCACTGAACAAGAATAGCTGTTTATGTGAAAGGAGGTAAGTATCTATTGTAAATACATTTTCAGTATAGGAAAATTACAACTTTCTAAAAACTTGAGCAAATGTCATTTATGTTCACCCTTGAGTTACTTTAAATGCATGTCTAGTGATGTATGCAATAGTGATAAGTAACAATAAATTCTTGAAGGGAAAACTGTTACAAAAGTAGATTGAGTTTATTGCCTATACATGTATACAACTACAAGACTTTCTGATGTTGATAAAAATATTATTTGTTTATATTTTCATGTTTAGTTATAATTAGTCTTTCCCATAATACAAATAAATGTTTTTCATTAAATATTCTTAGTACATATGATGTATAAACAAAAAAGGACCACCAGGTCTTTTACAAATGTCGTTACATACCCACTTATAGGAAAATTAAAAATTTAAATCTAAATATTATTCCAAATCAGTTTCAATTTGGTATATCGTAATAATATATTCTCTAAAAACTACATGTCTGCTGTGAACATAGGCTTGTTATTTTAATTATTTTTAGAATCTATTAGTTAATTTTTTGTATAGCTAGAATTCCTTCATATTTTCATGACAAAAATATGTTTTTGTAAAGAACTTCATGTGTGTCAAATATTAAGTAGGCTGTGCCCAATTTAGAGGCTTGATGGTATTTTCAATTGGCCCAATAAGCATTTTATTTTATTTTTATGAATCTCATTTTCTGGAAATATACATTCTTAACTTTCTTTTATATAATACCACATAAAAAACATAGTTTGTTAATTTGTAATATATACATTTGTTACAATGAATAAAGTTGGCCTTTTCATGCTGGTACTTTTATATGATATGATTCCTTAAACATTTTGAAAATAAAATTATGTTTCTTTGTAAGGTATATCTTCAACTGTGGAGAAGGAACACAGCGATTGGCTCATGAACATAAGTAAGTATTGGGATAAATGTTATTTAGATATTGTTTATTGATGAGAACAAAGCCATTAATTTAGCATTCATTGTTTATTTTAGTCAACAACAAGTGATGAGTTAATTTCTTCATATTTAATATTTATCATATGGCACACAATGTTTTTAGCTCATTGAAAAATAACAACTGCATATTATTAATGCTGTTTTAACAAATGTATCTCGTATTGAGAACGAAATAAGGTGGGGCCATGTGCATGTGTGTTTCTTCTAGTCTTTCTGACAGTCTTTATCATTGAATGTGATTGTTGGATAAACATCTGTAACACTGGAACAGATAAGGTATGAAAGAAAAACTGTCTTTAAAAACATCATAGAAATTTCTCATAATATGATCATTCAAATATAAGACATTACCAACAGATAGAAAAAAGCCATAACTTTCTCATTTCAGTGTATTGCAATTTTTTCTCTGTTTCTGCCTCTTTTGATACACACTCAGGTTTTTATGCAGTTACCCACATTCATGAGATCTTCAAATATAATAAACATAATATTTTTAAATAACCTAAATTGACAGCATTATCCTTATCTAACTCAATGTGGTTTTAAGTCCAACTTGAGTAAGATAAACTGAATGTTACCAGTGATGAGGTCATCCACATGCTATGTATACTGTATATTTATAAATCTCTGGATGGTTCCAATGACATAGGCTAAGTATTTCCTGTCTGCTGCCCCTCGACGTGGATTCCTGTACGTGGTGAGGGACCTCCCAGGGAAGGTTCTGTATTTTCAGTTACTTCCTCTGGGATCTAAACATCCACCCACGTGTTTGCTGTGCGTGGCGACCTGTGAAGGGGAGGAGAGGATCCTGGGGGTTG